ATTTTGAAGCCAGTCTTGGGCATCATCTATTTAATCATAAATATTAAAATACATATATATATATATTTAAAAGATGCTTTCGTCATTTTCAGCATACTTTATGTTTTATTACACACTCTTTGTTTCTTAAGTTCTTGGGGACTAACATCTGTTGATTTGCTGACCCCTCATTTTGGTGAATCTGCCCCCGAGGAGTTCTGTTACTTTAATGATATGAATGGAGCTTTTTTCTGTGGGACTTGTGTGTGCCTTGGACTGGGGAAGTGTCTTTGTGTTGGGTTCTGATGGTTTGCTGCTGGGCACACTAAGCTCCACCCGCTTGTACACCCATTTTCCGCCTGTGGCTTTACATATGGGGCTTAAATAAACATCTGAATGGCACCTACACAGTTCCTCCTGCGAGACGACACCCTCTGGGCCTCCCTCCTGCCCCCAAGATGCCCAGGGAGTAGCTTTGTTGCCACCTCACAGCCTGATGCAGTTTCTCTAGGCCCGGCTCCCTCACACCATCCATTGTGTTGTGAATGTTCACTGTTAGTTCTTTGTTTCGTTTTTCTAGTGCCTGGTATCTTTCTTTGCCCTTTGGTGCTCTGCTATATTTCTTTCTTCCATTTTATCTATTTCTGTTGAACATTTTGATTATTTTTAGAAGAAGGGAAAGTCTGCTCCCTCTCACTGTGTTGCCAGAACCTGAGAGTCTACGTTAAGGTGGTGATACGTACTCCATACTAAGAGTGAGTGAGTGAGTGTGTGTGTGTGTGTGTGTGTGTGTGTGTTTTAATCTGATATACTGCTCTTCAGGTAACATTTAAAATGTGTTAACCATTTCATATGGTCAGGTAGACAATCCGCTAAATACACATTCAGACTTATATTGCAATTACAAGTCTTCTGCTCATATATTTTATTTGTTCTAAAATTGAATAGTCACATTAACTTCTGCTTCTCATATTTGTCTGAAATCTTGGTAATACTCTCTGATTTAATATAATAAATATTAATATTAATAAGTGCAGTTTTATTGCCAGACAAAATCTTTAAATACATGAAGTTCATATGAGATTCAGCTGGAAAATGAACTAATATTAACATATGAAGACTTCCTACAAATCTGTAAGGACATAATTCATTAGGAAAGGCAAAGGATAAAAACAGTTAATAATAGAAAAGGACATACAGATGTTCAATTTCATTTATAACGTAATTTATAAAATTAGAAGACTACAGATAAAGCTATACTAAGATATTTTTTATTAGGTTGGAAAAGATGGAAAAGTTTAATTCTCTGTGTTCGGAAGGATGTTGAGAAATAGGAACAGTCATACCTTGCTAGCGGGAGTGTAAGTGGAATTTGCCTCCAGGAGGACAGTTTATAGTTTATCTTACAGATCAGATGCATTCGGTACATTGTGGGAAGTAGCAAAAGATTTGAAGCAACTTGAATGTTCATCAGGAAACTATTTAAATAATTACCTTATGCCCATACAGTGGAATACTGTACAGTGTGACACATATATGAAGCAGTTATAATACGTGGGCATGGAGTGATTATTACTAGAGGGATTCCTATGGGGAAAGCAAGAGCAATGTATATGGAATGCTAACATGCGGGAGGGGGACATGTGTGGACTTTACATGTATAAAATGCCTGGAGGAATGTACACGGAACTGATGGTGACGGGTGCCTTGAGGGAGGGAAGAACTGCATGTCGATGAGGACCCAGGAAAGGGAGAGAAACTTTGCTTTTGAACTTGTGTGATGTACATTTGTTACCTGTTATTTAAATGGAAACCAGCATCTTACTGTGTGAAGAGAAGCTATAGATAAGGGAGGAATAATGCTGTGCTGTTGAATTTGCACTGGAGATGCCAGTATAAAGTAATGATTTTTCAAAAAAACACCCAAAACTTCGCTGAAGGAATGAAACAGCGATCGAACAGAACGGGGAGGCTTTTCATTAGAATTGTTAGTGTGATGGTTGACTATTGCATGTTATTGCTTTGATAAAAAGTAAAGAATTTTCAAAAAAGTAATTCAAAAAAATTGCTGTATCGTTTTAAGGCCGTACCATGTGTGCTGCTGTTGCCTGCACTCCAGCAGGCTGCCAGCCACGGCTGATGCCATCTGACAGAGCAGCCTGGCGTGTGATGGGCACCAAGCCAGATGCTGAACAGAATTTCATGAATGAAAACCACTAAGGACACGTTTTTATCTAGAAGTTGATCTGCTTAACAGGTTGCCCTTTGGATTTAGTGCCTTACAGTTACACAGGTTAAAAACTGGAGGGGATTCTGATTATTTTACAGAAGAGGAAATTAAGGAACTTGATCTAGACAGACTCTAGAGTTAGGTTATCATTTCAGCGCTCATTATTCTGAAGTGTTCAGATGTAATCTCTGGTAAATATGACATTTGGTGCCTTTTAAAGATGTACTCTTGGTGGTTTGGGGAGGTTCTCTTTTAAAAAGATGACCATCTTCAGTGGCTTTCTCCCTTCTTGTGCAATTGTGCCTTTTCCTGCCACAGGGCTCTGGCTTGGAATACTTCCCGGTGCTTCTGCCTATTGGTAAAATCCTATTTTACCCTTAAGACGCAGCTCACTTGATACCTTCTTAAGAAAAATTCTTCCAATTGCTTAACAAAATCGTTGTTTCCTCGGCTGTGCACCCAAAGGACTTTTGTGTGTGCCTTCGACCCACCCGGTGTCTCTCCTCGGGTGGGGAGGGCTCTGCTGACACGGAGTGGATGGAGATCATGACACTAGACATCCGGTAGTGCTGTGTAATGGAGTGTCCAGCCGCTCATTCATTTAGGTAGAAACTTACTAGTATTCATCTGAGGCCAAAAACTAATTTTGTTTTACATTTAAACACACAGTTTTTCTTGTTTGTTTGTTTTTATGGTTTTAATGCATACAAAATTAACCAGGAATGCAACTACCATGTAAAAATCAAAGATTTTACTTTGCTTTGTTTGTAACCTGCCTGGTCAGGCTATTCATGGTAGTTGAACAGACTGTGCAAGTCTGTATTCAAAGGTTCTTGGCATTGCAGGTGATTCTTAGAGGTGAACATCTGACTAGATTATGTTTCTTAATTTTAGAGAGGAATGGAGAGGGAGAGAGAAACATGAATGAGAAACATCCATGGGCTGCCTCCTGCATGCCCCCTACTAGGGATTGAGACCAAAACCATGTGCCCTGACCGGGAACTGAACCAGTCTGGGTGCATGGAATGACACTCATCCAACTGTGCCATATCGGCCAAGGCCAGTCATATAGATATTTACATATTGAAATGCTTACTGTTTTATTATAAATTACTTTCATTTGTACCTTATATCTTATTTAGAACATTAGTGTGTGTGTGTGTGTGTGTGTGTATTTAAATACATTTTTATGATTTCAGAGAGGGAGATAGAAACATCACTGATGAGAGAGAATCATAGATCGATTGCCTCCTGCACGCCCCCTACTGGGGATTGAGCCCGTAACCCGGGCGTGTGCCCTGACTGGAATTGATCTGGGGTGCTTCAGTCCACAGGCCGATGCTCTATCCACCGAGCCAAATGGGCTAGGTAGGGGAATATATTTTTTTTTATTAAAAAATTTAATGGTGCCCCCATTTGACATTGGTGTATATTTTAAATTGTATGTAAATATATTATTAGCTACTAATTTCATTTTAGGATAGTTAAGGAGTCACAAAATATTAGTTATGAAAGGGGTTATTATGTACAATTGGTTGTCTGAATTATGTACAATTGCACAGTCTGACACATAGCTGACTTTTTTTTTTATAGGTAACTTTTTGTTTAAAAAAAAAGTTCAAAGCTCTTAGTGTGGCATTACCGCTAGTTCTCCCTATTCTTTCCTCTAACTTTGCTCATATTTGAGGTTTCTTGCTAGAGTATTCTCAGTTACTACTAGTTCATCTTGTAACTTGGGTAGGAAGTACACTGACTTCACAAATCTTTCAGATTCTCAAAAAGGAACGCACTACCTGTGTTCTACTCAGCGCTGGGGGAGCCCCAATTGTAGCTTTCGAACCTCCCAGAATCATAAGTTTTGCTGGTTAAAAAGCTACAAAGGTGAACGCCTGCTTAATTGACAGGAATAATGTACAGGAGAATTTCGTGAGGGAACTTTCAGTTATATAAATGCTAAAACTGATTCCTTTCCCCCACCCTGACTTTTTACCTTACATGGAAAGATTTTCTGATCCAGTGAGCCACTGTCGTTTCGTTTTTTCCTCTGGTCTGTATTGAGATTTGTGTTGTTGTTTTTTTATTGAAAGTTGTACATCACCTGGCTGGTGTGGCTCAGTTGGTTAGAGTGCCCTCCTATGCATGGGGGGGTCAAGGGTTTGATTCCCAGTCAGGTTGCGAGTTCTATCTGCAGGAGGGGGTGTGCAGGAGGCAGCCGATCAATGATTCTCATCATTGATGTTTCTCTCTCACCCTCTCCCCTCTGTGAAATCAATAAAGAAACAAATTTATGTATTTATTTCTTTAAGGGAAGCCAGTCTTTGTGAGGACGCCCACATCTGGTTGAGTGGTTTAGGAGGGATTGGTGCTAGAATCACATTTCTCACCTCAAGACCTCATTCTAGTCAGACTCTTCTCTGCTGTCACTCTCTCTCCTGCGTATTGACTCTCGAAGCACCGGGTAGTAAAGGTACCACATAGGTCTTTGTGTGACTGTAAAAGACGTCTTCAGCAGAGCTGGCACCGTGCAGAGCCCCTCGGGGTCTCGTCTAACTCGCGCGCTGAGTGACGGGGAGCAGGCAGGCTGCTGCTGCTTGTGTCTGGTGTGGCCCAGCTTTGCCGTGAGAACGGAGTGACTCGCTGTGAGCCGAGGCTTCACCAGGGCAGCTCGGGCCCTGCTCCAGCTCCTGCTCTGTCCGGGGTGGTGTGCTGTGGTCACCGTGCCGATAACTGCATACCATTGTTAGTTCTGGACGGTAATGATGCCTCACTGGTGCCTCATGTTTCATTTCAGGAACTGTTGGATAAGTATTTAATAGCCAACGCAACTAATCCAGAGAGCAAGGTCTTCTATCTGAAAATGAAGGGCGATTACTTCCGGTACCTTGCTGAAGTTGCATGTGGTGATGATCGAAAACGTAAGTGCACTGGTTTATGGGTAAAGCTAAAATGTGAATAGAAGGGAGGGTAAATGGGGCACGGTGATAGTAGCTTCTGTGTAGTCTCCAGGCCTTTTGTAACTTTAAGAAACATTTTGGAATCTACGTAAAAAAAAAATTAATAATGTTGCCTTATGTTTTCAAAAATGGATAGTCATGAGTTTACATTATGTGCTCTTTTTAAAAAATTAAATGCAGACGTTCTGATTTTAATCTGACAAGACATTGTTGAAGACAGGCGTGATGGCTTATGCTTTAGGGTTTGGGGCACCGTGTTTTCAGCCCCGGGGTTCTCTGCATGTGCTTAGGGTGATCTCGTTAGGACCTTCAGTGTCATACACCGTGAAACTCACCTGGGAGAGAGGACACAGAGTATAGAAACAGGATGTGCCTTTCTGTTTGACATGTTAGCCACTACCCGCTTTGAAGGATAACATCGTCTACTAACTACATATAACCAGGTTTCTGAGGGGAGGTAACATGAGAGTATTAGTGCCGGTACATAATTTATCAAAAAAACAGACATGGGGAGAAGAATAACCGAATTGCCTAGCTTGATTGTTTAAAAAATGGAAGTACATTAGCAGTGAACTCCATCTCCTGGAGTATGGTAGCTGAGTATAATACAGATCCTATTAAATGTGTGTATGTTTCTGCTACAAATTTTATCACACAAGATATACAGAGAAAATTAGTTACCCCGTTGTAACTAAATTTATTGTGTTATTGATGTATAATTTCTGTTGCCATAAAAATAAGCAAAATTGAACATGGCAGAGCTGAACATTCACACATCAGCGCGTTGGCCCCAGCATGAGTCTGATTCACTCTTTCTGGCTTCCTGGCATTTTCTAGTCCCATGCATAGTACTCCACCTTCTAGAACTTGTAGACGGTGTGTATTACAGCCTAGGACAGTGGTTCTCAACCTGTGGGTCGTGACCCCTTTGGCGGTCGAACCACCTTTTCACAGGGGTTGCCTAAGACCATCCTGCATATCAGAGATTTACATGACGATTCATAACAGTAGTAACGTTACAGTTATGAAGTAGCAACGAAAATAATTTTATGGTTGGGTCACAACATGAGGAACTGTATTTAAAGGGCCAGAAGGTTGAGAACCACTGGCCTAGGAGCTGAGACGCTTTGCTCATTATAGTGCTTCCTTGAGGGCCAGGCAGCCGGAGCTCCTTAGCGTGTTGTGCGACACCAGCCATGTTTCCATCAGTAAATGCGCCGTTTCAGAGGGGGAAGGACACATTCAGGCCGCAAGGGGAGCATTGAATTTCTGTTAGGTCAGTATTTCCAAGGCAACATTTTTTTTTATTTTTTTTTCCAGGAAGGTGACGTTTTTATTAGGCCAGTAATCAAACTCTGGTCAGAGCAGACTTTGTTGTTATATGTTGGCACTTTTATATTGCTTTTCACATAATACATCTTGATTCCAAGGATCAGTATTGTTTCTCCAAATAAGTCACAAAAATAGAGATTTTGGTGGTGGTGATGTTTGTAAAGTGTTTTCACTATTTTGAGAAGGGGTATAACCAATTCCCCTCCCCCACCCCCCGCTTTATTAAGATATTATTGGCATATAACAAATTATTTTTAATTGCTGTATTTCCAAGTAATAAAATGAAAAGACATGAAAGAAGAAAATGGTTTTAGCCCCAGTGATGTAAAAATCTGATGTACTATATTACGTTGTTTTTGGTGAAGCTGATGACAAGCCAACAACATTATAAACTGGTTCTGAATGCTCAGTACAAGGGAATGTTTTGCTTTGCTGTGGTTTTAAAGAAGGCTACAGAGGGCGTCTGGCTCTACCCAGAGCTGGTGGCGTACGTTCGCCGTGTTAATGTGCTGTGGACTGGGTGGTATTTTCGGTGTCCTGCTTTTTTATTTCATTCTTCTGCCTCCACAGAAACGATAGACAATTCCCAAGGGGCTTACCAAGAGGCTTTCGATATCAGCAAGAAGGAGATGCAGCCCACACACCCGATCCGCCTGGGGCTGGCTCTCAACTTCTCCGTGTTCTACTATGAGATCCTCAATAACCCCGAGCTCGCCTGCACGCTGGCCAAGACGGTGAGATGCGGGTCCAGAAACCCCTCTTTAGCGGCGGCTATTGGAGATAACAGACAGCTAATGTACAGGCGTTTTATTTACTTGGATACCCAGGGATGATTTCTATCTTTATTTGGCTGTCTTCTCCTTTTTCTTACCATCACGACCACCTACCACCACCCCTCTCAATATCTTGCTCTCTCCCAACTGTGGCTGTCAGCAGTAACATCTGTCTAAAGAGCATAATGATCAGAGTAATCAAAGAAGGATGGAAGCAATGGAGGGGTGCCTGCCAGGTTTGGCTGCTAGCGTAGCTGCATTCCTCGGTGTTTAAAAAAGGGAGACTACCAGAGAGGCTTTGCAAGTACATTCTAGTTCTTACTGGTGAGAAGTATATTGGGCATAGCTACTGTGCTGTGTCCTGTGGAAGCACTAAGAGGTGCCTGTGCCCTGGCCGGGCAGCTCAGTCGGCTGGAGCGTTACCCGGCACACCAAAAAGGCTTCAGGTTCGATTCCCGGTCAGGGCACATACCTAGGTTTGGATTCTATCTCCGGTTGGGGCACGTATGGGAGGCAACCAATTGATGTTTCTCATAGTGATGTTTCTCTCTCTTCTTCCCCTCTCTAAAATCTATAAATATATCCCCAGGGGAGGATAAAAAAAAAGTGCCTGTTTACTGATTAAGTACACATAGCTTTTAAGTTTCAAGTCATACTCATAAGTTCTTAAACTGAGAATCTGATTCCATCGTTTTATTTTTTATTAGAGCAGAGCATAAAGTGAATGTTCACCTACTTTTTAAAAATGGTTTGTGATTGTGGACTAACCAGGTTGCGTTGATACGAATATGGTTTACCATGGATGTTAATATCTTACAGGCTTTTGACGAGGCCATTGCAGAACTCGATACACTGAATGAAGACTCGTACAAAGACAGCACCCTCATCATGCAGTTGCTTAGGGACAACCTCACAGTGAGTTGTTCATATTTTTACTTCCTTTTCAGGAACAAAAGTGCTTATATTTTACTAGTGGTCCGGTGCACAAAATTCGTGCATGGGTAGGTCCCTAGGCCTGGCTGGCGATCAGGTTCCCCAACTCCTCCTCTCGCTCCCTCAGCGCCCCGCAGCTTCAGCTGCTCGCCCCTCATGGTCCGCGCTGCCCCCTGGTGGTCAGCGCATGTCACAGCAAGCAATTGAATGCCCAGTTGAACTCCCTAGGGGATACTTTGCATATTAGTCTTTTATATATATAGATTTCGGGCTCCCTATTGCTTGGGGTAGTTATCTAATAGCTACACTTTCTCTTAGAAAATCAATTTATGGATACATAAATAAAAGTATTACATGCTTGTTAGGGTTTCGTAGGTAGGTTTTTCAAGTCAAATGGGTATTTTATCAGATCCTCCTGAGATGGTACTGAGGTTGCAGGAACTCATAATCAGTTCACGTCACTGACTGTTTCGTGGGGTGGAGATGTTAAAGTCACTCATGTGGAGAGTTTGGGTGGTTTCAGTATTTTCTTCCTTTGGGTATAGTAGCCATAGCCAGGTAGGCACTATTGTAGGCATCTAAGCATCTCCAAAGTCACGTGAAATGCCTTGTTCTAATCAACTTTTCCTTTGCAAGCTGAACATGATGTTCTTAACTTGTTTTTTCTTTATTTCTTTTCCTACTACTTGGACAAGCAGATGATAATAGAAAAAATAATGAAGAAAAAAAAATACAGGTTGAGCTTTACTTAGCTTCTTCTATAGGTTCAAGTAAATTTGATGTGTCAAAACCTTAGACCGACTGGAAGAAGGGACCCCCCCCTCCTCCCCGTCTTATAAATGTAGTTCTCCTCCCCAAGCCCTGCTGGGGCTTCCACTTTTGCTGGATAGGATTCTTTCTCATCCCAGCACCATATCTGCTCAGCTTTGATGAGCAGGGAAGTTATGAAAGCACTGTCTTCCCAACCGTTAGAAATCCCTGTAGTTCTCAGTTACAGAAGAATGAACAGCATAAACCGCTTCTGTGGAAGAAAGGCAAGCTGAGCGATCGGACCTCTTCCCAGACACACCCTGGTGCTGTCAGTATCTTCACTGGTTTTGTTTTCTCTCTTATTGAGACAGTTCTTCAGGGATATTGTTTTATTTATATTAGTATCCTAACAATAGCTTAAAGATTATATAAGATTCCAGCTTTTGTGAAATTCAAGCAGTGTCTTGATGTTGGTCTAATAGAAATCCATTTTGTGAGCTATTGATTATAGTTGATAAATATTGACTATTCCATTTTCACTTCCTCATTGCATCCTAAAACTCGATCCTTCGGATCCATTGGATTTGTTTTAACACCCTACCTTGTTCACGGATCCTCTGTGTGTCTCCACGCGCACCTCTGCGGCAGCCCTCAGTGCGCTGGCTTTCACTGTGTGACAGCCCTTCAGACACTTGGAAACAGTTGTTACGATCACAGTCCTCCTCCCCCTAATCTCAAATGGCATTTCAGTAGTGCTTTCATGCAGAGCTTTGGGCTGCTGGGAATGAGAGAGCAAGCAATTCTAAGGATGTTGCCTGCTTTTTTCTGAAATTGTAGTGCTCATAGAGAGTAAGCTTTAAAAGCTACTCGGTAGTGTCTGTGTGTGTGTGTGTGTCACTTTGTGAACAGTCTGCAGGGGTCACTTTGGGGAGGAGTTGGTGGTATTTGGGTTTTGAGAACTAGCTTTCAGTCTGTTGTTCAGATACTTGAGTGCTTTCGGAATTACATTCTGATATTAACGGCAGGACTTGGTGTCATGGTCTGATCTGGAAGTAGTAACCTAGTCCGCTTTCTTTCCTAGTTATGGACATCGGACAGTGCGGGAGAAGAATGTGACGCGGCAGAAGGCGCGGAAAACTGACCGCGGACAGGGTGGCGTCCTCCTTCCCTCCAGAAACCTGTGCACATCTCCATTCCTTCCTCCATGTGGATTTCCTAGAGCAAAGAAACCATTCACGTGTATGGAACCAACTGTTCCTGGCCTCTTCACACTGCAGCTGTGGGAAACTCCATTCCTTGATTTGTGTTTGTCTTGGCCCTCCTGGTGTGCCGTCACTGCTGTAGAAAAGTATTAATAGCTCCATTTCACGTAAACACAAGTACCTTCCAAACACTTACGTAGAGGACTAAACATGCATTTGGTATTTAAGTAATCTGAACCAGTTCTGCAAGTGACTGTGTTTTGTATTACTGTGAAGATCTGAAAACGTAGTTAATTACAGTTTAAAGGGTGTTTTACATAACTTCTTAATTTCTACATTCCCTCCCTTACTCTTTGGGGGTTTCCTATCAGTGAGCAAGTTTCCATGTTCTTAATGTATTCCTTTTGGGCAGGAATCCGGAAGTATTAGGTTGAATGGGAAGCATTTGATAATTCTGGGCTGCGGGTCACAAATTGAAAAGCCTCCTGTGTCACACATGGTGGAGGTCTTGGGTAGCTGTGACAACAGGGAGTTTCCTCATTCACTCTTCATTTGCTGCTGTTTCGGTTGACAACTTCCCTTCCTAATAAAAATTCACTTACACCTTCTGCCTTTGTAGTTCTGGTGTTCACTTTACTAGACAATAAAGTAGCATGATGCTGCCAGAATACAAGCGTTGCTTTTGGCAAATTAAAGTGCATGTCATTTCTTAATACCGTAGAATGGGGAAATAAAGTACACAAGTCCCAAGTTTAAAATTTTAGTACTTTTCCATGCAGATTTGTGCACATGTGAGAGGTGTCCAGTTTGTTTAGCGATTGTTATTTAGAGAGTTGGGCCACTACTGTGTGTTGCTAATCATTGACTGTAGTCCCAAAAAAGCCTTTGAAAATGTTATGCCCTATGTAACAGCAGAGTAACGTAAAATAAAATTGCATTTTATAAACCATTTACTATGGTTTTGCAACAATGGCATACTTGTATTTTAAAGGACAGGTGAATTTACTACTCTCTGAAGTTTATTGATACTTCCCTTTTATCTTATATAAAATGTAGTAGTGATCCCCATACTTTTGCATTGTGATACACTTGTCTAGGGGGCCTGGAAGTGTGTAGAATTGGACGACATTTCTTAGAGGTAGTGTTTTATCCATAGGTCAGTTTTGTGGGCCATCTCTTCCTCAGATGTAAATGATCTCCATTTCAGTGTTCTATGGAATAAAGTGGACATTTTCAAACTAGAAAAGTTAACTATGTGATTCTGAATGCGTTGGCTGGTGTTGGATTGTGCTCCAGTGGATCGTCAACAGAATGGCAGAGGACAAGATCCTTGTTTAGTTGTACGGTTGGTGAGTCCAAATAATTTTGTTTTTATAGCATCCAAGTCAAAAGGTAATTGAAAAATAAGCTGTGAAAGATTCTTTATCTCCCAAAATGTGACTGAAACAAGGTTTCATTTGCACTTGATCTGTTTCCTGAGGGGAAATGAAAAGACAGAATTGAATGGGACTTGGGGAAGTACTCATTTAAATAAGATTATTAGGGCTTTGGTCCCCAAAAATCCAAGTCAGTAAGACACTTTTATTTTATGAAGCACAAAACATTTTTTATTGTTAATGAGGGAGAGATATATCTAAAATTAGAACTTAACACAAGCGTCTGAATCCATTGTTTCCCCAACTGCTTGCAAACAAAATATTTCAAATTCCACACAAGATTCTGCAAGCCTATCTATGAGTACAAACTCCAATCTTGACACTGAATTTGGATCATTTCCTCCAGGGAGGAAATCCATGAACTGATGTGAATTTATTCTTCCAGATGTATTTTGTATGTTTGAGGGCAAAGAAAACATTTCCATGCTGCCTTTTTTTGAGGCCACTTTAAGAATCACTAAGATGACAGAAAAAGGAAAAAAAATCACTAAGATGGAAACGGCAAAAGGGAAATCTACAAATGAGTCTTCCACTATAAAGCAGTCATTTATTGAATTGTTACTAAATTAACCAAGCTACATATACAGTGGAACATTTATAATCCAATCTCAGTGTTTTTGTTTTTACACTGCATGGAAATTAAAGAGAAAAATACAATTTTAACTAAGATGTCATGACCTCAATATGAGGTAAATTTCTACACAAATCAGCAAAATTTAATAAGGTTAGTAGCAGCTGAACCTAATTGCCTGGTTCCAACATTTGAAATAGTTTTATAATAACGATACAAGCGCATATCACAAAAACAAAACCTCCATCATATTAATATCTCTGACTAAACAAGATGGGTCCTCTGGCACATACCTGCAGTAAGACTCCTTTATAAATAGACATGTCAGTAGGCATGGGAACGCCGTTGTGGAATGTTACAAAATATCTTGCCCAGCAGGTGTATAGCTCAGTGCTGAGTGTCTGCCCATGCACCAAGAGGGTGTCCATTCCCAGTCAGGGCACGTGCCCAGGTTGCAAGCTCAATCCCCAGTAGGGGGCGTGCGGGAGGCAGCTGACCGAGATTCTCATCATTGATGTTTCTACCTCTCCCTCTCTGAAATCAATAAAAATATTTTTTAAAATTTTATCTTAATAAAGTGGTTAAGTACGGAACTGAGTAATTGTGAATTACCCAAGTACCTGCTTAAAGAGCAGGTTATTCTGTCTTCAGTCACGGATTTTGTCTCCCTGCTTTAAGAGTCGGCAACTATAAGGGGCCCAGCCCCTGTGTCTCCTCGAACCCTCTGAGCTCGGGGCCTCCTAGCAGAGATAGAGGGGATTTGTGGGACCCTGCTGAGAATTCAGTAGGAGAGGACACCTTCCCGGGGGGAGTGTGGTAAATAAATTTGGGGATGGAGGGAAGGTTTAAAGCCTTTCTGAGATACAGCATGTTTAAATGTTACATCTATCTTGTAGTTAGAACACTGGACAGCTTTTCCTTTAAAATATCACTTGGGAATTATGTATTCACAAAGATATATGCACCCCTGTGCTCATTCCAGCATTATTCACAGTGGCTAAGACGTGGAAACAACCAAAGCGGCCTGCGGTAGAGGACTGGGTGAAGATGTGGTCCATACACAATGGAACACTACTCAATAACGGATGGAATCGCACCATTTACAACATGGATGGACCTTGAGAACATTATACTAAGTGAAATAAGTCAGAAAGCGAGGAACCACATGACTTCACTCATGTGGGATATAAAACTAACTTGTGAACAGGAACAGCAGTGTGGTGGTCGCCAGAGGGGAGGGGGTAAGGGGAGGAGACGGCCTAATGTAAGGTGACACATCTGCCTGGGCGGTGAGCGCACAGTGCAGTATACAGATCTTGTCACAGAAACCCACACCTGGGTCCTGTATGTTCATGTTGACCAATGTCACCCCAATAATTTTAATTAAAAAAGTTTTTAATAAAATATTTGGTGGGGACTTTAAAAGATTTTTTAAATTGATTTTGAGAGAGAGAAATATTGATTGATTGCCTCCTGCATGTGCCCAGACCGGGGATTGAACCTGCAATCCAGGTACATGCGGTGATCGGGAATTAAACTGTCCTCCTGGTTCACAGGTTGATGCTCAGCTGAGCACACCGGCCCAGCCAGATCAGTGCTTTTATAAACCTAGGTCCTGACCAGTTAGTGGATAGTGGATCAAAGCCTTATTTATTTTTTTTAAGTGAAATAGAGTGGGAAAGACATGCATGCTAATAGGGTGAATTTTGTAAAATCAGGTTTTATGTGAGGAGTAGATTGTGAGATGAAACAGATTTCAAGGGAGTGAAAGCCATTCCTTCCCAGTCTGTCCTAGAGCCGTGCCTGTACGTTGTTCCTATTTGGAGGGAATAATGTCAGTGTCTAAGGAGGGCCTGTGGGTCTCCCACGGGATCTGTGAGACTGGCTACTTCCCACCTGCGGTGTGCTGAGCCATGGGCCCCGCAATGCCCTTAGGAAGAGGGAGTGTGTTCAGACTGATACTCTCATCCTCCGTGTCTTGAAGAATTATGTAAAGATTAACTCTTTTATCTCTTTTGTCCGCAGAAACTATTTCTGCAACATTTCGCAGGCCGTAACCACGAGGCAAGGGCTTCAACCCCGCGCGTGTGGCGGAATTGGCATTTGCTCGCCTGGCGAAGCGGCACGGGGCTGTGGGACAGGAATTCCTAACTGGGTTTGAAGCTGAAATACAGCTCTTTCGGGAATACTAGGTTCTCACGCAAATGCTGGTCAGAGGCGTGCTTGCTGTGATGTAAGCTACAGCCTCTAGCATTCCCTTGCCGACAGGAATGGAAGGTGCGGGCTTGTCTGCGGTGCTGGGCTGTGGGAAGCCGCTTCCTTCTCCGATTCCCCAATCCGCTGGGGCGTTTGCTTTGCTCTTGCTCCAGGCAGGCGCCCCGGGGGCGAAGTGCCCCGTGCTGGGTATTATTATAGTAGAATTATCTTTGTGTGACAGCCTGCATTGTGTCCTAGACCAAACTGTTGAAAACCAGAAGTGGTTTGTTGAAGGGGCCACTGAAGTTGAACTTAGCGTGCACCTGGCTGCTTTCTGCCCTAGAGGTGAGGTGTGGGGGAGGAGGCCAGGCCTTCCTGAAGGCTGTGGTGTGCCCTGGGAGTTGGCATTTCTTTCAAAACTCCCTGCCACTCTCCTCTGGGAGCTCCACTCCACGCCGTCCTACCTGCCTCGCTCAGGCCCGCAGGGAGGCAGACCGCCGGCTCCGGTTGCTGCTGACGTTACAGGTTTTTCCTCTTCCGGGGTTAGTACCCAGCACTCTTCTTCATTCCAGCCCTGCGGGTCTCCAGACAGGCCCCGTGCTTCAGCCACTCTCCCTGCAGTGTGTCTGTCAGCCGTTCTGGAACTTGGTAAGAACCTCAGAGGGTTCACTGGACACATTTCCGAAGACTTGTGTTCCGAGAGCGGTGGCAACACTGCTGTGTTGGAGCCGGGAAAACAAACGGGACGAGATTATTAACCCTGAGCCAGACTTCTCTTCCCACAACTGCAAGCATGAGAGGTGGGGTGGCCTCGCAGAAACAGGAGCAGCCTGGGCGCCCAAGGTCTAGCTCCCTCCCTCCCTCCCTTCCTTCCTCCCTCCCTCCCTTCCTTCCCTTGTTAAATACATTGAGAGCCTGTTGTGAACCATGGACTGTACCGGGTACTAGCACTTGTAACTTCATCACCTAGTCTCTCAGCTTCAGTT